TCATTTTTCATAGATGGCAGCACTGAAATCAAACTTCTTGTTTAAATATTTTTCGAACTTATAGATTTTTTTGAACTTCAAAATATTTTTAAAATAGCAGACCAGCTGCAGGAAATATAAATTAAACTCTACATTTTATAACTTTGGGGGGGGGGGGTTACANGGGGGGGGGGGGTTACATAACTACGGCAAGTTGGCGACTAGTTCCGTTTGCTGAGGGACAAAATCTTAGTTTATTCCAAAAGATAAAATTTAGTTTGTAAGAGTCTATTCAAAAGATATATTAATCCATTTAAAAATATGTATGTATATTTTATCTATTTGATTCTTTTTAATGAGATCAGACTTGAATAAGAGTTTGGAAAAGTCTTAAAAGGCTCAACAGAAAGATTTTGAAATGTAATTCTATTTAATTCAAAACATTTTATTCATTTTCAAATGGGATGAAGATTTAATTAAACTATGCAGTTTGAATTCAAAATGCATGAAAGAAATTCCTTAAGAAGAAATCAATGTTGTTATGTTCAATCAAGATAGATCTGAGGAAAACGGGTCAAAGAAAGCAAAGAGAGACATTTAAAATGTTTTACTTTAACCATAATTTTTAAAAAATTTCTACTTAGGATAAAGAATTCGTGAAATTTACAGAAAAGTTTGCAATTTCAGATATAAGGAAATTTTATAAAGGATATTTTTGTTAAAATACATTGCAAAAATTGCTTATTGCGTTTATATTAATAAAATTTTCAACATTCAAAGTCATTCAATTTCAAAAACATTTAAGATGCGTAATTCGGAAAAAAAAAATTGCCAATTTTTGAACCTGAAAAATACGTTTAAGAAATTCTTCACAAAAATATAACGCTAATAATAAACTGAAATAGATTCGAGGAAATGGGTCAAAGGAAGTACTTAGAACATTTAAAATACTTAACTTTAGCATTAATATTTTGTTAATTTTTAATTAGGTTGAAAAAGTTAAGAAAATTGCTTCACTTGTTTGCCTTTTCAGTTGTAAGAAATTTTAGTTCGTTTCTCGCTAAATTAAATATTTTCAACATTTAATCAGAAAAAAAGTGATAACTTTGAATTTGAAATACATATAAGAAATTATTCACAGGGGAATCGATACTTTTACGCAAATAATAAATTGATATATATCTGAAAAAAAAGGACCTGATAGATAAAGCAATTAATATCTTTAAAATGTTTCTATTATTTTGTTTATTTTCAACTAAAATGTACATTATAATGAAACTACTTCAATAGTTAGCAGTTTCAAAGGAGAAAAAAGATTCATTTCATTATCATACTAGGTACTTTACTTTAATCATATTACGTATTTTATTCATTTTCAATTAGTATGGAGATTCTAATAAAACTGCTTCAATTGTTTGCAATTCCAAAAGTGATAAAACCTGTGAAATAGAATTTTATTTGATTCTAATCTGATCCAATTTGCTTTAACAGTATTGTTTTATTCATTTTCTATTAGCAGGAAGAGTTTAGCGAAACTATTTCAATCGATCGCAATTTCAAAAGTGCTAAAAGTACAAGAGATAAGCTTTATTTAATAATTATGCTACTCAAAAGGGTCAATTTTTGTACACCCTTACTAGATTAGACAATATATAAAAGTTAAAGAAAAAAATAACTGGTGGATTCAACATATTCTTACCAGAAAAATCGGCGTTTTGACACAAACAATAATGAAGTAATATCTTTGGAAATGGGTCTAAGAAAGCAAATTATACATTTAAAATAATTTATCCTTAGAAGACAACAGATAACTATTTTTATAATATGAATTGTAAGAAACGAACCACTCTAAATAACTTTTGGTCTATTGATGGGATCTTCGCTTTCTTGAACTTAATTTTAGTGGTTTGAGGAGGGGAATTCAAATATGCTAATTAATTAGTGTAGACGATATTTTAAGCGTCGAAATCATACATAAAAATGCGCTTTCTCTGAATAAACATACCTTTTTTTCAATGAATTTGGATTTCTAACCTCCCGAAATACGTGGAAATCGCAATCTGGAAGAGATGATCCAAGTAGTTTGGTTAGGAGATTGGTCCAAAGTTTTCGCCTCCTAATGTTAATTTTACTCTTTTGAGTATTTTGCCATATCTCCAAAACATTTCAAGCAATTTAAAAAAAAATTGCACACAATCATATTCGCTTATCCAAAGATCATTTAATTCAAAATAAATAGATAATAAATAACTTTCAGTAAATATTTATAGGTTTTTATTATTTTATTTAACACTTGTCGAAAAAATTTTAAATTGTAAAGTATACAATTTCTTACATCATTTAAAAAAAAATCTTATTTCACATGGCAAAATACAAAATTTCAGTTAAATCAGTCAAATAGTTCTTAAGAGCAAGAATTTAAAAATTTTTTAAAAATTTTTTTTAATTTATTTTAACTTTTTAAAAAAAAAATTGATTTAGTATTCACAGTTTAAAATAAAGTGAAAACTTGCTTATTTAGCATTCAAAAATTTTACTTCCCGGATTAAAACTGATAAAACAAAGTGATTAAAACAAAGTAATAAAAACTGATTTTATAATTGTGAAAAACTAATTTACACATAGTTACATATAATTAATTATATTTGGATGAAAGAATTGTCTAATTGTGTGCAAAAATGTTCGATTTACTTAAGTTGGTTGAAGTTTGACATTTTCAATGTGCCCTTGTAAATGCCTAAAAATGTGCTTTGCAAGTAATAAAATATAAATATTCTTAATTATATCTCTCTCAAAGGAAAAAAGGAATTTTGTTTGAAATTGATATCTATTAATGGGTTCTTCATGACCTATTAATGAGCTAAATGGATAGACCACCCATAAAAGTAAATTTTTTTTAGCCTTAGAACAATTCTTGCTTGTATTTACATAAAATATAAATTTAAAATATGAATTTTGATTTGCTATATTCCTTTACTTTTTATAACTTCTCTTCATTACTTTTACTGCATTCATAAGTATGTCAATGAACCAATGAAGCTATAATATTCACCCTATTTAGTGTACAGGTTTTTTTAAAAATTCACTTTAGTGTATGGAATGTGGTTTGCTATCTAGAGGTTTGGTGTTTAATGGTCTTTCGGTACGAAAAGATTGAGGATTAATGTTCTATGCAATCCATCCCTGTTTCGACTATTTTTTTGTAAACGAGTCTCCAAAATGACGTCAGTTTCATTAAGATAACACCATGACTTAACTGTGATTATTATTCATATTAACCAAAAGACTAAGCTGCTGCTATTTATTAAAATTATTTTATTTGAAGCTAAACTATACATTTTACATAAATATTTACTAAAAAACTCTTCTGTAATATATGATAATAAATAGTTTGAAATTTATCGTCTTGCCTACAGAAGGGATTTACGGTTTCTATTATCTCTATTATTTCCAGATGTTGAGAGAAAAAGAATTTAAAGAACTTTATATTTGAGTTTTCTCTTAAATATAACGGATTCAGTCACAAACACTTGTCTTACATAAAATGAAAGGTCGAGCACAAATTCATTCTAAACTATGACTTCTCCTTCTCCATGTTAAAATATTTCATTACCAACGTCTAGAATGAAAAGTAACCATTTGAAACTACATGTTATTTGGAATGGTGTCGATGCGAGTCACATTTTTATATTTTTTGAAGAGAAAAAAAATATTCAGAGAATTTTTAATGATATATCTTGATTTGAACAGCGAATTTTGCAATAAATTCTAATAGTTGCATAGCAATTTCCTTAATGTTAAATGTTTAAATTATAGTTTCAGGGAGAAATTTACTGAGCAAGTTCTATCTGTTTGATATTTTCAATTGTTGGTGTTGGAATAAAGATTACATAGCAATTTTATTAATTTATGAGAAATTACCATTGGCCCTTTGCATTTCTATGATTATAGTGCGCAAAAAGAAATGCTATATAACTTTTGTTTTAATGATTGAATTTTCATGTACTAAAAGATAATTTCAATAGTTTAAATGTTGACTACGCATGCGCTGCTATTTATTACTCTTACTTATTTATTACTCTTTTTCGAAGTTCTGTTGTCAAGAAAAATGAAAAGTCATAGTTTAAATGCCTTACACTTGAAGCATTGTGATGATTTTAAACTATATATATATATAGTCTTGCAGTGAGGAATTATTCGGGCTTTAGAACAGACAAATTACTTAAATATTTTAAAATTTATTTAACTTTTTTTAAAATATAAATCACCTACTTGGCGACTTTTTTTCACCTAGATGAAAATTATCAAAATCACTGCCTTATTCTCAATTTGTGCAAATTTTTATGAACCCAGATAATATAGCATTGGAGTAAGATTTTAAATATTAAAAAATTAGACCACTAACACTTTTTATTTTCACCGAACTGTGGCTTTTCTGAATATTGACGTTTTACACCATTTTCAAAATAAGCGTAGACAGCGTTGGCTTTAGATAGGCTTAACTTGACCAAACAGTCGTGAGTAACATTTGCAAACTCACAACAGTTATAAAAAAAGCATATTATTCCCAAAACAGCATCATTTCATGTTACGATGTAGCCTTCGTAAAACATCCTTAAATTACGAAATCAAGCGAAAATAAACTTGTTTTGTCAAATAAACATATTTCTTATCATCTGTTCTGAATTTTTGCCATTATGTGCGAAGATGGGACTTAGAAGGATTTTGGAAAATATAGTCTTAAAAGTTTATTTAAAAGAGCTCCATTTTGACTGTCAAAAATACATATACATACACAAAAAAGGGAGACAGACTGATAAGTACGTTGTGTCCGAAGTTGTAATTTAAATTATCATCTGCATTATTTAATTAGCATAATTAAGTGGTACTCCACATAGAATTGATACTGCACTTCCGAAGGCGTAATTTCTGTCATTATATCAAAAGATAAAGAAAAGTGATTCGTTTCTATTCGACTATCCATGTTAAAGTTTTCAATTTCAATAAATCACTAAGTATCATTTGCAAGTAAAAATTATTTATTAATGGTACCATCATCAACAGTGGTTTTTATGTCGGGTTTCTAGGATGGGCACAAACTTCCATTTTGCCAACAAGGAACAGTGCATTTTTGTCTTCATCCGTTGCTTTAGTTAAACGGAAATGTTTAACAATAGTTGTAAGGAAAAGAAATGTCTGAGCCATTACATATCCTTCACCAATGCAAGCTCTCCTCCCTGTAACACAAAAAAAAGTTGAGAAACTTTACCTAAATTCTTCAAGATATTTCGCGATTGTTTGATACAAATAATGTCTGTAAATGCTTACAACATATTTACTACAAGAAATTTGATAGAATCAGCTCTCAAATATTTGCTCAACTTACAAATTAGGTTGCGGTAAAATGTAAAATATCCCCTCAATTATGGCATAAATTAACGACTATTATCTTTCAAGATAACAATATTTAGATAGCAAAATTTTTCTGATTGGATAACGATATTTCATAAAATTTTGGGATAAAAACTTTTTACTTTCAATTAATTAATCGCTGATTAGATATTTTTGCAATTCTTTGCAATTTTTTTTAAACTTTTTCAATAGTTAATATCTCCGCAAGCAGAGCGCAGTAGCCACCAATTACACAGACATCAATTTTAAGGCAAGACATCAAGACTTGAAAAGACATCAATTTTAAGCCAAGGGCCAGCAAGTGATATAACGTGGGATCTGAATAGTTTTAAACATTTTTTATAAAAGTTAAGAAAAAAAAAGCACTCACATTCTTTATTAGTTTTTTTTATTTAAATTCTTATTAATTTAATTGACGAATAGAACATCAGGCAATGGCCTATATACCAGTCGGTTTATTATCAGGTTAATCAATAATTATTTAACACAGTTCTTGATCCAGTTCTTAATTAAATTTATGACACCGATTGCAAAAGTTTTATGCCTTTTTTTATTTTTCGTAAAGAAAAAGAAGAAAATGCAAGTTTCTTAATTACACCAAGAAATAACTTTAAACTAACACTAATAAGTTCGAATCGTACTATTTAAAAGTATTAAATAATTATATGTCATACTTTCGTATTTTTTTTTTTTTGGCATTACAAGGCCGGGTTTTCAACTTCGTTGGTAGCATTTACATTGTTTTATAACTTTAAAAACAAAGTGCACAAATAAATTCGGCTGGATTTGCGAGTGATGATTTGAGTACTTTACTTGATAGTATGAAAGAGGAATAACTATTTCATTTCTTTCTTATGCTTCATTAATGAAATTCAAGTAATAATTATATTTTCTTATAAGTGTTTTCTTCTAAGTGGTTTTTTGCAAGAACAAGTCTACGTCTTCAAAATTTTATTATTAATAACTATTCGACATATTTTTAATTCTTCAATCCTCCCCCAATCCTAACAACTTAATTATTTTTAAGCAATATATTAACCAGATTTTTCACCATCTAGCGCGAGTACCTTAATTTCAATTTTAACTATTTTCAAAAGATGTCAACAATATTGTTAAAGTTTTCTATGTTTTAAATTTTGGTAATAAGTTTAATTCCGTCCGGTAGCCACACAAACTACAGTAAGTTTGAGTTCTCGACATTTTAGCATAGTATATGTAACAGAAGTATTAAAATTATTGTCTCCTTTCCTATATATATATATATATATATATAGCTTTCTTCACAGTTAATTATTCACTTCCTCTTTTCTTATTCTATTTTTAGAGCGCAAGTATGAATGAATTAACATAGTTTTCCCTTTACTAACCGCGAGAAATATATTTTTCCCTAGATTTATTCAAGGTACGGGATTATTTTGCACGATTTATCCTAATTTTTATTCAGGAGCACTTCGATTTGAGTGCCATGTCTCTTTATGATTTTCATGTGTCTCTTCATAATATCCATGACTTCAATATATATGCTATGTACTTCGATAGATATGCTTCAATATATATTCATGACTTCTATATATATTCATGATTTCATTATTTATTCTATTGAGTCTTTATATAAAAATGATAGCTCCATTATTAATAATTGGTAAGACTATCTGCGGCTCCATAGCATCGTTCATGTTCAAAATTTCTACAGACATAATGAAAAATATCAAAAATATATCTAAACAATTACTTCGTAATTATAGATTTCTTCAAAAATTGAAATTGAATCTAAATAAATACTTAACATGCAAGCAATTTTTTAACATTACTTAAATTATTAGACAGCAAAATGAATAAGAACTGTAGTGTTAATGACAGAAATAGATAAGAATAGAAGTTTATGGGTTTAATTAAAAGGACTATAAATGTAGATAAAATTTTAATGATTCAAGAAAAAACAAATTAAAAGGGAAAATAAACGTCAACTCACATTATTTTATGGCAATAATTATCTGAATATATTCCATAGAAATAATAAAATAAATAAATAAGTGACAAATTTACCAGTTCCAAATAAAATCGGAGCTTCTGGTTTTTTCTTTCCCTTTTCAGGAATGTATCTAGAGGGATTAAATTTATGTGGCTCTTCGTATTCATTCGGATCGTGATGAGCTGCCCAAACATTAATCATCATAACAGACCCTTTCGGTATTCTATGCCCTTGAATAATTGTTTCTCCTAAAAAAAATATAATAGTTCAGCAAGCAACACTATAATCTAAAACACTATGCTGTAAAAAGATGAAAGTATACAAAGAATTTTTTTGAACAAGTCACGTATCAAAATGTGATAATTTTTAAAACCGATTATACTAACAAGGGTGCCCTCCTCCCCTTTAAATATTATTATAATTTGTCTCAACCGACTAGTTTCGACACTTTTTATTTTTAAATATTAAGATAATTTAAATAAAAAACAAGTTTCTATGTTTTAATATGTTTTGATAATTTTATATAACTTATAAAACTATAAAAAAAAAAATTATTTTTTTAAATGGCTATTTTTAGGTAAAAATAGGACATTTTTTGCATATACGCTGAACTCGGTAAAAAAATTCTATCGAACAAAACAAAAAATCCATTGAGAATTTTGCGGACTCAGAGGGAGGATTTTTATTATTTTATCAACTATGTTTTAAACTATTTTCTTGAAAGCAAGTGCATTTACTACTGAGTTAGGGATCAATGTAGTTAAAAAAAAGTAAATATTTAAAAATTTCTGCACGTGTATTTGTGAAAAAAAAGCATGCATAAAAAAGGATATTTTAGTTTTTTCTCTTAGTCGGTAATTTAAAACGTGCTCTATATTCATTAACACTCTTGTAAAATTGTAGACAATAATTTTAATAACTATATGAGATATCGTGTTTAAGGTGGTATGAAATGTAAAAAAAAACCTGATTTTGTGACAAATGAATTTTAAAATTAAAAATCATTTGACAATCCACTATTATTATCTTGCCAAAAATTGCAATATTTTTGTAAATAATTAGAATACAAACAAAAGTTTAGTATTTTTTTTGAAGTTACGACTGCAGTCATTTTAAATTCATATTAAATTCAATTTCAAAAATTTTGTTCAAAAGCATGTTTTTGCTTAGGATAAAAATACCTTAAGGATCAAGCTCAAAAATTGAAAGGAAGGCGGAATATTATTTTCAGGGACATACCATAAAAGATATCTGACCACAAATGGTATAAATTGGTTTTCCGCTTTTCTACGCAAAATATATCAAACGCCTGCTTTTGAGGTTTTATAAAAATCCCTAAAGCTTTCGAATTTTTAAAACATTTCAAAACATTTGGTTATTACGCTTTATTCCTTGATTTTTTCATTATTTTTTTACATTGTACAACATAGTGCAACATTCATTATTTGTATAATACAACAAAATTATTATTGTATTGTTTAATATAACCTTTCGTTTATTTTCAAAAAATAAACAATATTAAAATGCTAACTAAATGAATTTTTTCTAAAAGAAATCGATTTTTAAAATTTTTAATCTTTTAATTGTTAAAACGAAATACAAATGAAAGATACATATAATACAGAGTGATATGCTGTTTACAAAACAACGTCTATAGCTCAGATTTTTAGACAGTCAATTACGGCGGTCGAGCCTAGCTCATATCCTTTGAAAGTGACTTAAACTTTTGTTTGCCGTGACGTATGAGACATAAAAATTCTTCCTTAGCAGCTCACGACTCTAATACTAGATATCTTACGCTGCGTCAAATTTCGTTCGATATTTCTCAACTAACTAAATGTAGTTTTATTAATCGTTAAAGAATGATTTCTTTTAAATCTTTATTGGTACTTATAATTTTTCTTTATTTTTTATTCATTTTTTTGTATTGAAACTTTTAATTGAAAAATAAAATACAAAAATAAAATACAAATGAAAGATACAAAAAAAATATACAGAAGCGATATGCTGGTTGCAAAATTAAGTTTAAATCCTACATTTTTGGACAAATACTTCTAGTATACAGTACCTGTCAAATGTTTAAACTCACTCTTGAATTTTTAAAAATGAACAAATAATAAGGTTTTTAAACTAAAAATCTCAAAAAATTAATTTAATTTTGATAATTATAAGTACACTTATGCTGTAAGAACTATAATTTTAAGTATAACTTAGGAATTTCATCCTATCTTGTATTCTTCGGAATATCCTCGTTTAGTCTTAAAGACAGCAACTCATATTTTTGGCATTCTTTGCATTGTTTTAGTTGAGATCTAGTTGCAGCAACTAAGTAAAGATTCACAAATTTTCTTTGATTGGTACATTGCATTTTTTAAACACTTCTATATCGTTAATCCTACAATAACTCAATAGGATTAATATCTAACGATTGAGGGGGCTAATCAATATATTTCATTACTTTTTTACTCTTCTGTTAATTGAAGGCTATTATATCAATATTTTAAGTATTTTATGTACTTAAACTTAACTTATAATGAACTTCACAAAAGAAGATTAAGTAAATTGCTTATAAACGAAAAAGTAATGAATTTTTTAACACAAATTATACTTTTTTAGAGTAGGTAATTGCTTGCACTTTCGTTCATTTCGTAAATCAAATGCAGAATAGATTCAAAGTGAAAAAATAATGAACAGTTTTAAATGGAAGCAGCGTTTTGCGAGTTTGTTGGTGTTTATGTTTGATAAATTATGCTCTTAAATCAGAAATATTTAACTATTTTTGAAAGTTTTGAAATAAATACAAGTGGGACAACACTTTTGACAAATACTGTAGAACAGTCGATATCACTTCCGTCGGTGAAGGAGAAAAGTACCGAATTACGTGACTTTCGTGCTTGTTTTCGAATTATCAGTTGGGTTGGGGGTCAGTCTGTGATATTTAGCATCATAACAGAAAAGCAAAATTATACATTTATTTACGAATTCATAACATTATCGAGTTATGAAACATCCTGTACACAAATAAAGAAGAAAAAAATAAATAATTCATTAAGATTCATATGAATTTATTAAGATCTTACTTGTACACTCTAGTTCTGGGATGAATGGAAGAACTTCGCTCGTTCTAGTAACTTCTAAGATAAATGCATTGGTATAAGGCAGTCTACTCTTGTCTTCAATGCCTGGATCCCTGTCCACTCCCACTACGTCCACCAGCTCATTGTAGATTTTCTCTTGCTCTTCGGGATGGTCCAAGAGTGCCTTGAAAAATGTGCATACAAAAACTCCCACGGTCATTACACCATCACCGATAAATACAAACATGGAATTAACCAGTGCCTTGTCTGCAAAATATACATTAAATTATTTTACTTGAGTAATCTAGTTACGAAACAGGCGTAAACATGTTATTTCATGTGAACTTTAGGAAAAATTCAAATAAAAAGTGACTGAATGATGATGTTTCTAAAAAATTTACAGACATGAAGTTTACAAACAAGGGTTCGCAATACATGATGCGTAAAAAAAGTTCAGTGAAGGGAAGCATGAAACAAAATCGCTTATTTTTCAAACTTTCATTCGTACCAGTTTTTTACGTTAAATCGAATGAGATCAATTCAAAGATGGCCGGACGAATAGCTTTCAACTTATCAGGGTTTTGTGCACAAAAAGTAGAATTTTATACACATCTAACATTGCTTCTTAACAAATAATGATTTGTTTGCTACATAGTTCTAATGCTGAGCTGATATACGATTCATTAGGATGAATTGTTCAAAAGATGCAAGCTCTTTTGTGCACAAAAGTATTATTTTTGACATGTACTTACGTAAATTTTTTAGTTTGCTATTTATTAATGGTTTGGACGAATGGATTATTATTTCCAATATAATTTTTATGCTGAATTAATTGAGTTCAAAGACGAGATGATTGGCTGTTTTTATATACTGTTATATGCGCAAAAAGTTAAATTTTTTTATGCACTTCTAGTTGCTAAATACACACGTGAGATACTGTTTCTTATGTATTTTATGATCCTAAGCGAATGAGATCAATATCGAGTCAATAGGATTAGTGTTTGATATCCCAAAATTCTTTTTTTCTTTATAAAGTAAAATTTTTGATTTATACTTTGTATGGTGTAAACCATCATGACTTCTAACTATAAATTCTAACCCCACTCGAATGAGTTTTTTCAATCAATTTCGCATAAAAATTTCATCAGAAAATATAACTTTTATGTACAGATAGTCACTAGGTAACAATGTAAAATTTATACATAAGTACTCATCAAAATTAGTACTGCCGGGATAGGTTGGTAGGGAGCTGGACTCTCGTTCGTGAGAAGGGGAGTTCGAATCCAGCCGGGCAAAGACTCCCCATGTAGTAAATGGTGACTGATGCAAGTTAAATCTGTCAGGTCACAAAGTCCTCCATGTTCCCGAAGCAAATTATACCTCCGGGGGTACTGAATTGGAGATTGGTCAGGTCAAGTCAGGTCAAAATTACGATGAATGAAAGGATGTATGAATGGGTCCACCCTATAAACGAGTGTTACGTAAGATATTGGCAATTCTTGGTCATAGATGGCGCCACTGGGAAACAAGAGCTATCGCACTCCTTGCCTTAATGGTCAACAACAACAGAAGTAAGTTTTTTTTAATACACAAATATCCTTGCAGCTTTTGAACTGTTCGTGCTCTTCACTCTTGCTTATGCACATTCAATTCAGAATAGAAAAAAAACTCATTTGCTTAGGTAGAATGTCAAAAGCGTAAAGAGGTACAATTACAAAAGTATATTTTTTATACATAAAACTTTCATTTTTTTCGAAATTATTCGACTGATGACCTCGGAATTGATTCCATTCTATTCAGCATAAAAAGAAATATATCGGGAACAATAACTGGTATGATATCTAAATAACAGTATTTAAGTTCCTCTCCTCCTCCAACAAAACTAGACGAGTGAGATCCCACAAAATTTTATCACTTACTCTATGGAAAGAGTACTTAACAGTTTGCTGGAGGTTTGAATTATTTTTTAACTGGTAGGGGGTCCGGATTTCGATGTTTAAGGAGCTACCAATCTTTATTAGCCTATAATTAGGTTCCTTTGTAACTGAGTATTAGAAATATTATTTTCAATACATCCGGAAATATTTTAAAAATTAATTTTCAAGTATTAAAAAAACTTGTTTTAAGCTATTTTGGGGGGCTTTTTCCTCGCTTCTGCACCCAACCGCTATCGCATACGAGGCTTACCACATCGGAACAAATTTATCTAAATTTCATTAAATATCAGTGTTACTGCTTCAAAATTTCTAGTAACACTATAAAGGCCGGGATAGCCTGGTCGGTAGGGTGCTGGGCCCATGTCCGAGAGTTCGCGGGTTCGAACCCCGCCGGCCGAAGACTCCCCGTGTAGTTGGTGAGTGATGCACGTTAAAGTTCTGTCGAGTCGCAAAGTCCTCCATGTTCCCATAACAAATCAATACTTCTGGGGGTACTGGATTGGAGACCGATCGTTTTCTGATTCAGGTCAAAATTACGATCTGTGGATGAATGAATGGCTGAATGAATGGGTCCGATTTATGAACAGGTGTGACGTATGATGTGGCAGAAGTCGAATTCTTGGCCATAGATGGCGCCACTGAAAAACAAGAATCTCACATTCTGCCTTAAATTTCCTCGGTTTTACCAGGCAGGCTTGCCCGTGTGGTAAGTGGCATTAGAACCAACCAACCAGTAACATTATTCAACACTGTTATAAATAATATATGAAATTGATTGAATTGAAACTGATTCAATAAATGACCTCGGCCAGCACGATTTTTAAATAGAACACTGTTATATTTGTTGGTTGAAAGATTAAATATGTCACTTAAAATGACAAATATTAAAAGCATTGTTTACAATTTACCCGTGAAATATTGAGCTGTAGGATCGTTTCTTGCCAATCTATCTGACCTCTCTTTGAAGTATCTGTCGAAGATATCATTCCTTACATTATTCTCGTTGAAACTTGATTTGTGTTTGTTCAACATTTTGAATATTTTTTTGATCAGGATATTAAAGTGCTCCATTGCCAAGTGGTGACCCTTCGTAAATGGATGAATAAAATACCTGGAAAAAGAAAACAAATAAATTACATATTTCAGTTTTTAACACTGACACATTTACCAATTGGAGAAAACTGAAGCTTTTAGTACGTGCAGACTGTATTGGAAAGCAACATTTAGATGGAGAAACAAGTTCGGTGCATATACACACTCACAAATCAAGGAACGTAAGTTTTTCTGCAGTTAAATAATCTTTTGAGTGAAGCGCCCGATGACCGGCAAGCAGAAGCGTGTGAATATCCAGGATTAATTCTTCAATTTTGTGCGCAAGAGAAAGAGTTGTCTAATCAATGGCAAGGGGGCAAGAAGGACAATTTAATCAAAAGAAATATTAGAAAGATATGTATTTATAAAAATCTAAATCCATTTTTAAATCTTATTTTCATGTTTAAATCTCATTTTCATGTCTTTCTGTTGTGAAATAAGCACCATGTCTTATAACGTTTGTGAAAAATTCCGATGCTTTTGATATCGTTACGATGTTAAGTGAAACGCCAAATGATTAGCATGCAGAGGCATGTGAATACCCGGGGTTGACTTTTCAATTTGATGCCCAAGAGCAGTGGACTGAAAAACTGTTAAATATTTTTGTAGTGTACTACAACTACTATTTTGTTACAAATATAGTTAACTACAACTACTTTTTTCAATGTATACTGACTACAAATTACTTTGGAACTGAAGATGACTCACAAGCCCGAATTGAAATTTGAATTTGAGCTGAATTTGCAGGAAAACTAATGAATGGAGGTTATAAACTTTTACCCAGTGAACTAGTACTTAAAAATTATTAGTTACTGGAACATAAACGATACACCTTTACATTACTAGAGCAACATTTTTCATCATGATTATAATTTTTACTAAACGAGTTAAAAAAAGGCTTTTTCATAAAAAAAATTTGAGCAACTTATAAATAGAATGTTTGCCACTCGAAAGTCTTTCTAGTGGTAAAGGCACTAAGCTGTCACTGTGAGGTACGAGAGTTTAATCATTGGCAGCCGCTTGAAGTTTACCCAGCTTCGGATCCATGAGTATTAGCTAATTTAGAAGTAAATGCAAGCCATATCCTATCTTCTTGTTACTGGTATCGAAATTGTTGAGCCTCAAACTCCATACCCTCCTTTGGATTACAACTGACTGCTGCGGGAGTGTTTTATTTCGTTTTTCACTTAAATCTAGTACTGTATATCAGAGTAATCTATATACAGTCCTAGATTTAAGTGAAAAACGAAATAAAACACTCCCGCAGCAGCTGTATACTGTATATAGATTACTCTGATATGCAGTACTAAATTTAAGCGAAACGAAATAAAACACTCCCGCAGCAGCCAGTTGTTATTCAAAGGAGGGTATGGCATATCAGAGTAATTAATATTACTGTATATCAGAGTAATCTGTTTGTCGTCGGCCTTCTGAGCCCAAGTCTGCGGGTTCGATCCCCGGCCCAGACACCGGATTTTCGGGTTGCAGAAAATCCTCAGTGGCCATGTCGTATGATTATGCGGCATGTAAAAGCTCCCTGGAGTGCCTTATTGGTTCTTGGCATTTCCGGCAAAATTAAATTCCTAGTGCACTTTAGCAACCAAATAGAGTCTCGGTGTTGCCATCTAGTGTGGCAGAAACTAGACTCCAAATTAACATGACCAACGGTATCTCACCCATTGTGGGGGTCCTGAAAGAGTGGATACCACCTCTGGAGAACGCACTAGGTCTGCTCATTGGCAAGACTGATTGTGCAGCTCATTGGAAATAAAAAAAAATATCAGAGTAATCTAATACTGTATATCATTGGAATACAAATTTGAGTTGTTAAAATGCTATTAAAAAGAAATTAAAGCAAATATATACTTAGCAAAATCTCCAATCAGGAGAAGGTTTGGTCCAGTCATGTTTTGCAACGTAAATTCATAAGAATGGCAGACATCCTTTATATCTTCACATGTGAAATCTTCTTCTCCCGCAAATAGAGTAGTCCTCAAAATTTCGCTGCTTCCTTTCACAATAATCTCAGTTAAATCCACTGGCTTACCACCAATTTTCTCCAAGTCTTTTACACAATGATTGACGGCATCATAAATGGGCCCTTTTCGCTCCTCTCTGAAGGTCGTCATTCCAAGCTCTTTGAGTTGCTGAATGTAATATTTTCTCTGAACTTTCCATTCCTCTCCATTTGAAAAAGCTATCCCTGAAATATAAAAGTGAAGATGATTGTGAAAGAGTTATAAATCAGTACTAGATCATAGTGAAATGGAACTAGATCCTTTCAGATAATTGTGAAATAGTACCACATGATTCATGGTCATTATGTAATAGCACCTAATTTGTAAATAATGTAATAGCACCTAATCAGTAATCACAAATGTTAGCTTTTTCATTACAGATCTGAAAAAACCTTATAAAGAAATTAGATATGCTCTCTGAAAGAATGGTTCAATAACACTGTAATGTAATACCGGTACCTTGAGCATAATAAGATGTAAGTCTACTGCAATCCTAGTAATGTGTTAAAATAAGCATGTTTCTGTTCAAGTTGAACCAAATTATCATGTAACGAAGTTGAAGATGTACGGTAATATGATTACACTTGTTACTGTAGTTGAACCAAACTATCATGTAACGAAGTTGAAGATGTACGGTAATATGATTACACTTGTTACTATAGTTGAACCAAACTATCATGTAACGAAGTTGAAGATGTACGGTAATATGATTACACTTGTTACTGTATTCAGGTTGCAGTAAATTTTGAAAGACTTAACACGCTTCAAAATTGTAAAAAAAATATTACAAGCAAATTTTTTTGCCTACATGAGAATATTTTTATTTCATATTACATGTTAAAATTTTTAAAATGATTTTTTTTTCATATATCGTTTTTGTGCTTTCAAGGATAGTGAGATTTAACTTCGAATTAGGAAAATGGTTGTGAGACAGTACTTTTGGCGAAACTGTTATCTTACGACGAGATAAGAGTCTTGCTGAATGAAATGTTGACAAAGGGCAGGTTACAATTAAACTTTCTGAATAGCGCTTTCTTTCAGACAATAGAGAGCTTTAGCGTTAACGTTATGGTTTCTCGCTAACGCAAACGCTATTTACTTCACACAGTGCATGCGAAAAAATTAAAGACAAAAAATTACGTATGCCTTTAAATACAGTTTCTCCTTTACGTTTGGCTAAACCTTAACCATTAATGCAATCATTATTGTAATCATTGCGGAACAAAGTCAGTCAGGATTTCAGGGTTGTGATGATCGGGTATATTACACATGTAATTTTTCAGACTAACTCTTCATACTCAGAACAATAAACGTCAAAGCGATTTTTAGAAATCTACATTCAGATAACGTTAATTTTAATGCCTTCATTATAAGTTTAAATCATCCGGGACAAGTTTTTAAAATCAGCTGTTAAATTTTAAATACTATCAAAAATAGACTAGTTAAAAATATACTAAGTAATTTAGATAAATGGGCGATATCACATTAAAAATTTATTTGGATCTATTAGTTTATTTTTTTAAAATGAGATGTCATCTGTATTGTTAAATGCGCATTTCAAATTACTCTATATTAATACGCATACTTTTAAATACGCATTTTGAGCTGAGAAAACTTTTTAAACGCGCCTTTCAGATTACGTCTATTTTCTTAAACTCTCATTTAAAGCCGTGTCAATTTCTTAAACACGAATTTCGAGCTATGTCTCTTCACTTTTCAAACACGCATTTGAAACTATGTCTATTTTCTTAAACGCTCATTTTAAGCTTTGCCCATTTCCTTAAACACGCATTTTAAACACGCATTTCATCCACGATCTTCTGAAATGAAATTTTACTGATACAAAACTAATATAATACTTGCCATCTTGAAAATAATAGTTTAGTAGATTATAACCGGATGCCCTCGTTTCAAAATCTTGTGGTTTTTTAAATTCTACTTCTCTTATGGCATTATACGAACATAAAGATATGTACAGGCGACCTGTAACGGTAAAGCTGAAAACGTCACCATATTTTTTTCTTAACTCTTCCAATTGGAAATGTATAGTCGAAGCATCAAAGAAAGGCCAGTATCCTATATAGGGAAAGCCTGTAGGTCCAGGCGGTAGGCCACGTGATCGGATAAAGTAGTAGAAGGTGGATAAGAGTATAAGAAATAAGGCCAGATAGCATGCACTTCCGCTGCTTGTTAAGTTTTCGGTAATGAAACACATGACTTGCTTGTTTTTCAACTGCAAAATGAAAGTACAAAATATCAGGCATAGCAATGGTTGGAAAAAAACATTTTGTAGAAAAATGACTAAGAATGTCTATAATATATATAAATATTTCTATATAAGTCGGACTTCCATTTAATGAACTTTCATTTAACGAACTTTCATTTTGCGAATTTCTCTATTTTGTGATTTTTTTTCGAGAAACCAAGAACATTTTGGAAGTTTCTCCGTAAAAATAACTGTCCAAATAGCGAAGTGAATTTTCTATTTGACGAAACTTTTCTTTGAGATCCACTTTCCCTATTTCCCAAAATATTTCAGAACATTTCAAACTTGTTAACGCATTTTATGAGGGAAGTGACATTGAATTGACTTTCAAAGTAACTTAACTTTTAAGGAAAGAAGTAAAATCCGTTTCCATTTTTGCTTGCATTTTAAACAAAAAACTCAGATGAAATCAACGGATTTTATCAGTAGCAATTAAACTTAGGAACTCATGTGGTAATGCATTTTTGAAATTACTTTTATAATAAATGCAGACATAATTTTATACATAAGTTTAGCTTTTTTTAGTTGAAAATGTATGTAGCATGATAGTGTAACACTGGATAATGTTTTGCTCTATTCTAGCTTTCTATGCAGATTTCTTTAATCGTTAAGATTTATAAAATGAATAATAGATACTAGTTTACAAGATAAAAATGTATCAATTGCTATTTTAATTATGCCAAGTGTTTATGAATTTAAAACCAGTTTTGTGTTATTTAAGTATTTCAAAAGATGATTTTCTATTTAATGAATTTTCCATACAGCAAACTTATTACCACGATTTAGCGACTTCGTTAAATGGAGGTCTGACTATATATTACTACTAGTTAAAAAATATAAATTTAAAACAATGAATGCATTCAAACACTCCATTCAATTATTTTAAATACATATACTGTAATAAAAAATTAACTTCGATTTAGAAAAACCATTAAAGAAAAAAAAATTGAAGGAGATAAGAATGCTTGGTTTTCTGCTTAGAAAACTAGTTATTTTTCCTGCAATATTTCGGAATCACTCATAAATCTCCGCAATAAAGACGTGTTAGCTCTGTCACAGCACTGTGGTAGGTGCAAGTCGAATGCGGAATTTATATCGACCAGCCATCGCTGGGATTCGAACCCGGTTCACCTTAGCTTCACGCTTTTTATTTCATTTTTGTAAAGGATTTGGAAAATATAGATTCTTTGCTCTCATTAAGGGACACATTGTTCAGACAAAATATTGTACGGAAGAGTATCATATTAACACACATCAGTCAGAATAAGGAAAATTCGTCCTTTCACAATTGATCACAAGTAGTTTTTGGTCATTCTTCTTTGTTATCGCTAAAGTGAAGAAATATGGAATTCCAAGATAATTCATGTTATCGTGCAGATTAATAAGATTGTTTCATTTTCCAAATTACCTAAGTAATCTGCAAATTACCTGATAATTTGCTCATAGTCTTCTAGGCACAAGTTAAAGTGAAAATAGCATTTTCGCTGGAAAGCAGCGTTTTACGTTTGCGCACGCTCCGACTAACTTACTTTTATGCGTTTATTCATTTCTTGCAAAAAATCAAGTTGCAACAATAAACATTCAAGCTGGTCGAATCAATCGCGAACAATCATCGAACAATCATCGGTTGAAAATAATGTCACAAATACGGAAATTAATATAATGTCATTGATTTATTTTTAATATCTAAATAATCAAGTCAATAAATACAATCAAATTAACAAAAAATTGGTTGATAAAACGAGCGAGACAAATTTTTGAACTTAAACGATACGGAAACCATAAATGCTCACATTACTTAGGTAAATTGGGGAAAACACTTGATTACGCACTTTTAACGGATCACTCCAGTTAATCTGAATATCAGTTAGCTGAAATGCATATTTACGGTTTTTGAGCATTAGCGATAAAATTTAAATTGATTATCAAAAAATGCCACCATTCGGTCAATGATGGAGCAAATAATTCCGGATATGCAAATGATGTCACTTGTATGTTTAGCTCAGTATTTTGTTTTGCACTCTCATAGTTATCAATGTCCCGTTGCATTGATGATTAACAAATTAATATTAGAATTTGATTAAGCATTCAATAAATTAATTGATAGAATGAGAGAAACAAACTTTTGAACTTTAACGATACGGAAACCGTAAGTAAGCACACTACTTAGGAAAATTACGGAGAGCACTTGATTACGTTCTTTTAACGGATCACCCTAGTTAATCTGAGTATTAGTTAGCCAAAGTGCATATTTACGGTTTTCGAGCATTAGTGATAAAATATAAATTGATATTCAAAAAATGCCGGTATTTGATTAATGATGGTGCAAATAATTCTGAATATGCAAATGATGTCATTTGTATGTATAGCTCAGTATTTTGTTTTATACTATTATATTTATCAATGTCTCATTTCAGTGATAATTAACTTATTTATATATTATAATTATTATTTTGTTTAAAATTATTTCTTTGTATGGATAGAATGTTAAAAAATTAATTTTAATTCAATTATACACTGATTTAAAATCAATTCATCTCAAAATAACTTAATTTTTCAAAGATGTAAAATAAGTGCTTAAGAGTTTGCGGCATTTAAAAAAATGTTAAAAAAAATTTAACCATTTGAGGACAACTTGCCAGTGATATAAACGAGTAACAGAGTTTCTTGACGATTTTCAGATAATATTTTTTGCTTGAAAAAAATTTCAAAATGTAAAGAAATAAAAACAAAGTAAAAGAAGATGATAAATTAATTAATGCGTTACGAAAATCCTTCGTATTAGAATGGGTACACTTTTCCTCACATGTTTGCTCTAAAGCATATTGAACAGAAAAATTGAATACATTAAATGCTTTTAAGAAATTGGTATAAAAAACATCTCAGATAAAAAATCACAGACTTACTTAGCTGAAATAAGTGTTTTTCATCTTTCCTCTTAAGAAATTGTCTAAGTAGCGCCTAAGCAGCAATGCGTCTTCTTCAAAACCTTTTTAAAAATGCAGTTTCAAACGTTGTCACATGTAGATGGAGCTACTAGATAAGTAAAAAAGTATGGACATATTTTATTTCCATTTGCTTCGCCCAAAAAATCTTCTTATAACCTTCTTGCTAGTTCTTTCATTTTTCACAGAAGGTAACACTAAAAACATTCTTTCCGATATTTGTTTAATTATTTTTTAATTTTGAGATTTTTTTGAACTAGCTGCATGAAACCAGCTGCATGAGTTATAAATTATACTCTATCTTACATAGTAAATTTTTTACAACTATATTTTTCAATACAAATAGAAATACGAATACGTAACCAAACTCAATGATAAACTCTTCATTTTGAAATAATAATTAATTAATTTCATTTTATTAATTTAATTTTCGATAATTTCATTTTTCATTAATTTCATTTTCGATAATCAGCTATAAAATACTTTTTTTCCAAGGATGAAACTTTGAAAATATATATTTGTTTAATGTTGATCGTAAAATGAGGTTTCAAATTTTAACAATTATTTCATTGACTGGAAGGTTTTGTATTCTCTCCGCTTCGCTCGCCAACTCATGTTGCCTATAATTTATTTTTCTATTATGAATTTTTTTCTTAAAGTTTTTATTTTTTGTCTTAGAGAGAGATGCCATTTTTTTAAACAATGAATAAATAATCATTATTGTGAGCAAAAAGTAATAATAAATCGTGAAAAAACATGTAAAATTAAAGTAATTTTGAATCAAATTGAAATTTCGAAAAAAAAAATCGTATTTAGTTCCTGAAGAAGAATGACCCTTTTCAACTGTTTACCTGTTGACCTACTTCAGTGAACAGTAGATCAGCTTACATGGTATATTTTTACGACAACACTAACAGTTGATTATTCTCGAATTAATAATCGAATTATAATTATTTTTATTCTAACGCACTACTTGTAAATTTTTTCTACTCACCTTCATAATTTTAAGTGAGAGACAAGGAGGGGTGCATTGGTTTCACCATGTGGTAAAATGAATTTTAAATGGCGTTTTTTTACCTTATAAAAGGCTTAAAATAAGCAGAAAATTTTTGTTGAAAATAGTATTTTTTAGAAATGAGTAATTTGAGAAAATATTACAAATTGCCATTTGCAATGGGGGTGTTTAAACCTCCTTAATTCCTCCCTTACATACATAATTGAATATACATGACATAACATATATTGATTTATTATAAATATTTGCTTACCTCCAAATGAATCAGTTTGAAGTGTTTCAGATCCAAAAAGTTGTCACATTTTTTAAAGAAAGATAAAGTTTTATCTTGGAAAGATAAAGTGTTGTTCTAGAAATACTTGATAATTCATTGTTTAATGCAATTTTTGACAGAAAATTGCGCTAAGAATCGGCTCCTTGGAAATCCAATATTTTAAAATGTTATAGATGAAGGGGAAAAAAAGATTAAAGAAGTAAATAAGAAAGACAATTTAAAGAAGCCAAGAACATTTTCGCTTTGAGTAAAATGACGCTACTATTAAGGGATGAAAGAAGTTTTCTACTCTGTGGGTGCAAGAGATTCATGAAAATCAAGGATGGTATGAACTCTATTTTCTTCTGTGAAGAGACTGTTTTATTATTGTTTTGAGAGAAGGGCAACTGAAAAACAGTGGCAAATATCTCATTTTCGTTTAAAAAAAAACAAAGAAAAAAAACAACAGGAGGCTTGAACTGAATTGCTTCAGAGATTTTTAATTATTATTTTGCTCTCAGTATTAAACAGAAATACTCTAAAATTAAACAGAAAAAAAGACTTTAATAGTAGACTGAAAAACAGAAAATTGACAGATATTGTACAATAGGGTGGAGCGAAAAGAAGTTTTCGATAATTAAATAGCACTACTTCTCAAAACTTGTATGTGCACTAGTTTATCACTTGTGAATTTCTTAGAATTTTTATGCACCATCTTCATTCCCCGCAAAAGATTTAAGCCTTCGAAATTTCAGCGATGTGTTAAAATTGTTACGGAGGTATCTCGACCAGTGAGTGGAGCGAAAGCTTGTGATTGTAAAATACGAACAAAATTATTAAACAGGTCAATAATGCCAATTTTTGAAAGAGGTCAGTATTCAATGCTGCTTTAAGGAGTAATGATTTTGTAGAAAAATATGTAAAAGTGTTTATCGGATGGTTTATCGAACCAGCAAAAAGTTACATTTTTATTAACCTCACAATAGTATTGTTTAGTTAAAACAAAATTAGTTTAAAAAAATCAAAATAAAAAGTAATATTTTTAAAAACTACGTTTTTGTAGTGGAGAATAATAATTAAAAAACAAAAATTTGAAAAACGGAAAACGTGGGGTGCATGAAATATATAACAGTAATATGTGTATGTATATCTGTAATTGTAATTGTATCTAAATGTGGATATGTATGGGGAATATGTTTGTGTATATGCATGTGTATGAGGATGTATATGTGTATGTGGCTCTACATGTGTCTGAGTAAGAAAATGTGCATATGTACTGTTACGTATTTCATGCGCACCACGTTTTTCGTTTTTCAAACTTTTGTTTTTTAACTATTATTCTCCACTACAAAAACGTGGTTTTAAAAATATTACTTTTTATTTTTATTTTTTTGTGCTCACTTCCAAAATCTCAATTTTTTCACTCACTGTACACAAAACTTTTCAACTGACATGTGACACTAATTTGAAATAATCGAATCGACAACAAAGGACAATCGCGAAAATATTAATTTCTCTTTAATTTTAATTTTATTTTACTTTGTATGTCTTCTTTCTCTTTATTTTGCGAAAAGTAGCTGATTCTCAATACGAATGATAAAGGAGAGCACGAAGTGTGCAGTCTTCATTTGTTAATGATGGGTTTGGTTCCAAAAGTGAATGACAAAATTCGCGAAAACACACGATTCACAATAAGAATGCTTTGTGATGAGAATCCAGAAATGTCTTTTGCATGAGATTGTTATAAAGTGATGACAAAATGTTCATCTTTGGCTTTCTTCTTTGAAGAGGGCATAGACAAGTTGGTTTCCCCTGTGATAAATGTCTGTGCAATGTTTGGTGGTAAAATATGTAGAATTTTTTTGAAATTGATTTTAAGGTCTGTAGAAATTTGTATTATGTTACTCTCCGGTAGAAATCACATTTATTATTAATGTTACAAAAATCCAATCTCTTAAGTTAAAATAAATGTGAAAATATTTTTCCTTTGCTCAATTGTTAATGAAATAGGGGAAAAATTACTTTTAAGACAACTGATCGATAGTTCTGATAACTTAGAACTCTGATAACTTATTTTATAATTTTGTTTTGCTTAAAATACATATAAAATAATGACATTCTGAAACAATACATACTGATTTTTTATTTTTTTTTTACAATTGAAACATACATTGTGTAATTCGACTTTAAAATCCAGTCAATAATGAACACAAAATACGAACAGTAAAACTGTTATCAGTATGTACATTTTTTTAGCACGCTGAACATGATTTGAAATATTTTCACGTTAAGAGAAATTCTTATTCATCTGAGTCACATGATGGTATACATATGTCATTTGATTCACATGTTAAGCCTTCAGCACAGCCAGATGTTGGCGGAGAATTTGAAATAATGGGTGGCCTGTAGCAACTTTCACCCTCTTCTGAAATGGGAAATATTTTTATTAGTTAAAACATAAAATAAGTTTCAGTTTCATTTATTTATTCAACAGTAAGCTCTATTTAAAGCAAGTTTTTAATTATAAGTAAGAAACTCGGTCCTAGTGATCCATTGTGATGGACCTATGCTTCATTATGAAATAAGCTATATGTGACCTCTAGTGGTTTTTTTTGCGTATGTATAAACATGGCACCATAGTGGTCATAAAATAATAAAGGAAAGCAAAAACTTTACCAAATTTTGACAAATCATTAGAGAACGAACAAATTATGTATTAAAGTTATCAAAAACCAGTTTGTTTCGCTAAATTGGAATGAATCTATTTGTTTTCGTTTGGCAATTTTTTTATCTTTTACAGTGATTATGTTAGCCTTAATAGGTCCTTGATCATTTTTTGAATATACTTAGATTTAAAAATTGATGCTTGAAAAAGATTCATGATAATAAATTTATAAGAAAATTGCATTACATAAATCTTTGAAGATAAAAAATTAGCGACACAAATAATTCATAGTTAAATTTGAAAATTATAAAAATCAGATTGGCAAAAAATATAATTGACGAAAAACAGTATAAAGAGAAAAACTGAAAAAAAAATGGATGCTAGCATAATTCGATTATATAATTATAGTTAGTACTTCTGTATTAAGAAAATGATGCATGAAATGACATAGTAAAACTATTTTTCTATATTTCTCCGCTTCACAATAATACAAAATATTAATTTAACTTATATCACCGAAATATTCATTTACTATCTGAATCTTCTCTTTGCTTATTGCTTATCCAAAAATAATATTGAAAAAATAAACAAAACGAGATAGCGAATGCAAGATAATAACAGAAAATATAAAATCCTAGATAATATAATTTTGTATAGAATCTCATATTATATAATGCAGAGAAAACAGCGACCTTCTTTATCTTTCTAATAGTCGAAGGTTGTGCAAAATAACATTAAATATATCGGTTTGCTGATGTTATCTGCGTTATATATTATGTGCTACTTGAGTGAGAAGCTTTTAAAGCGACATTTGTAGCTCGTAACTATTAAATCGTTTTATGGAAAGAGTTTTGTTTTAAACCTTTAATGGTTGCATAATTTTGACGAAAATGGTCATAAAATGTCCATATTTTTTCCTCAAGAAAATTATATATTACACTATGTTCTTTCTCTCTCTGTTTTATCTCTCCTTACCGTGGGAACAACGTTGGCCCACATTATGTGGTGCCCCTGGAAAAGTGGCCAACAAATATGCCCTTCAAATGCCTGTATGCCTTTTTTTAATTAAATGCAAATTTTCAAAAGTCATTAAAGTTGTATGATATTAAAAATCCACCCCTTTAAATACAAACTTTAAATTATCCAGTAAAATATTATTACCTTACGCACATCCATTTTCGGGCCAGTTCGAGGTAACTAACAAATCAAACGAGCTTAAGCACAGCAGTAAGAATGCGCCATAAAAGATTTATGCTTCTAACTTCTATTTGCGCTTTTTTTTTCTTATTTTGTAATCTGGTAGTCTTATTACAAAAATATTTGAATTCATTCTAGAAAGATTCCGGTAAGAGAAAGTTCATTTGAATTTGCTTCTTCATTCATAGATTTTGTTTAGTGTTTGCTCTGTATAGTCTATTATTTGCTTATATGCTTTATTTCGTATATATTTTTCACTTAATGTGTTCTATTTTCATTTCCATTTTTTTGAGAGATCCTCACTCTATTGTATTGATATATTTTGGTTTGGCTATATTGATATAATATTAAAATGCACTCCTGTTTGCTGATATAATAGTGTGAGCTGTTGAAGTGATTATATCTTCATTATTTCGCTTTTCGACTTTATATAAAATGTGCCTTTAAATAAAAATGTTTCGTAAATTATTTTTAAAAATATATTTTTCATCTTCTCTTTTCATTAATCTTCATTATTTTCCACGTTTTCTTTATATTTATATATATAACACAGTCCAGACAAAAAGGATATATATATATATATATATATATATATTTCTGTTATATTAAAAAGCTTGGGTCAATATAGTGATAAAGACACGTTTTTTCGAAACGTACTTTACAAGTGTCAGAAATGATCACTATGCCTTAGCACACTAAACAGAAACCTCCTACAGTGTACGGGGAAATTTTTAGGTTTTTAGACAAAACATTCGTATGAAAAATTTGAAAACGAGGCTAATCATTATATTCCTAAAAGCCTTCCAATGATTGCATTTTAATTAAATGGCTTATTATAAGAAAATACCTAGTTTAAATTTTTTTTAAAGAAATTTTTCTTTTCATCCAGAGTAAGGCAACAGTACATCATGCCTTTTCAAAAATATTTAAATCCTTTGCCGAGAGATAGCACCACGCACTTCCTACAAATTTATAAGCCACATCAAAATGCAACATCAAACTATGTTAATTAAAATCTTATAGGTTATTTACAGTAAGTAATATGGAATAGGATATAATTAAATCTTATAATTAT